CCGGCTTTTTTTCTTTTTGCTTATGTGGTGCTGAGGAATCGAACCCAGGGCCTTGAGCATGCAAGGCAAGCGCTCTACCACTGAGCCACCTTCCCTGCCCATTTACCACCACTTTAAAGATCTCTTTAGGTTAACACACTCTCTTAGAGAATGGAATGAGCCAGACCTATTGTTCAAAGGGGGAATAAAGTCATTTTGATGATTTGTCTCAACGCTATTAAGTAAATCCATAGATGAGCTAGACTAGTCTATTCCCTTAAATTCTCTCCTGATTCCTAAGAAAATTAGTAGCCCAAAACGGTGTCATTCAGAAACAACAAACTATAAGACAAATATAAGCATCATGAAAAAAATAATAAAAGCAGTGAGTCCCTGGGAAAGCCCAAAAAGTTTATTCCAAGTCCCTTTAAAAATAGGAAATCCAGGACTGGGATTGTGGCTTGGTGGTAGAGTGCTTGCCTAGCATGCAGGAAGCCCTGGATTTGATTCCTCAATATCACATAAACAGAAAAAGCCAGAAGTGGCACTGTGGCTCAAGTGGTAGAATGCTAGCCTTAAGCAAAAGAAGCTTAGGAACAGTGCCCAGGCCCTGAGTTCAAATTCCAGGACTGGGGGGAAAAAATAAAAAACAACAACACGAACTCCAGCTGGGTTCACCTGTATTCCTAGCTACTCAGGAGGCTGAGATCTAAGGATCATGGTTCCATGTCAGCACAGCCAGGAAACTCCAAGAGAACCTTATCTCCAATAAACCACCAAAAAGTCGGGAATGGAGCTGTGGCTAAACTAAATAGAACGCTAGCCTTGAGCAGAAAAGGCTCAATAACAGTACCCAGGCCTTGAGTTCAAGCCCTAAGACCTGAGCACACACACACACAAAGATCTCCAGGGCTGGGAGTTTTAGGTATGACCCCCAGCAGGTAGATGTAGGAGTGTGTGTGTGCGCGCGCGCGCTTATGTCTGTGTACACAGCAGCTTCTTCCAGCTGCTCATTCCACCCTGATCTTTTGAAAATGTTCCCTCTCGATCAGTAACTCAATTCCACGTCTACCACTTTAAGATGTCCACCTTCCCAGACTTCACTCCCCACACCAAGATGAACCCTCAACTCCAGGCGCTCCCAAGCGCGCCTCCACATTTCTCAGTCCACCCTGTAATTCAATTCTGATCCCTCTCCACTGACGACCTCACGATTCCCACTCAGGTAAGCAGTTTTCCCGAGTCATCCTCTCCACCATCCCTTTTCACCTACATCCATCCCCAGAACGTGTCACACCGGCCGACTGCATTTCCCCAACAGGTCCTCCCTGCCCATCTCCTCCCTTTTTTTTTTTTTAATTTTTGCACACGGTCACTTCATTCCTCACGCCGAGGCTCCGTCTTACTCACCTGACCCAACCCTTCAGGATCCCTTCGCTCTCTCGGCAATCTCCCTCCCCATTTTCACAGCCCGCGGGCGCCCCACCATCCCCCGACCACTCCGCTGCACTCAGATCCCCGCACGCCCCCCCGCACCCTCCCCAGGACCCACTGGCCCGGCCCTCCCGGCCCTCAGAGCCCGCCCTCAGGACCCCCTCTGCTCCTCAGGCCCCTCCTCCGCGGCCCCTCTCCCCTCAAGCCCCGCCCCGCGCTCCCCTCCCCCGGGTCTCCCTCCCACTCGGGCCCACCCGGCACCTCAGCGACGGACCCGGCCACTCCAGCTTCTTTCCGACCTGGCTGCAGCTGCTCCGGGAGCGAATCCTCCGCCACCTCCGCTCAGGTTTCGTCCTGTCCCGCTGGCCACCCCCCCCCCTCCCGTCAAGCTCTCTCCTTCGCCGCCGCCGCCCCTTTTACCAACCCGGAAATGGATCTGCTCCCACTGTCCCCAGCGTCCGCGAACAAAATGGAGGCGGGGGGAAAAAAAAAAAAAAAAAAAAAGGGGGGGGGAGGGGGAGGAGGTGAGCACCCGGCGAGAAGAAGCCTTAGGCGCATGCGCTGCGGGAAGGCCCGCCCCCTTCCGGCTTCCGTCAGGGCGGAAGTGGCCGGGGCCGCCATCTTGAGAAGGTCGCCAGGACTCCGCTTCGCCGCCGAAAGCCGGCGTTTCTCTCTCTAGATGCGATTGGAACTTATCTGGGACGCCTTCCACAGCGGGTGACGCCGGGGTTCTGCCCCTAGAGAGTCAAGTGCAGCTTTCGCTTTTTCAGACTTTTTAAAATTGCACCTGTGACTCTGTGTTGTCGAGGTAGAGAAACTTTCTTGAATGTGCTTCTTGTTCATGTGTTTTACACACACACACACACGTACAAACCAACCTCCATAAATGCCCTTCCCTGATTTACAGCTAGTGGAAGCCTCCGCTGACTCTTGCCTGGGCCCCGCAGGCAAGCGCTGGTTGTCATAGCAACAGCCTCTTCCGTCATCTCAGCTACCAGGCCCCACCATCCTTGATGCCGTGGGGGCTGAGGCTTCCCCAGCGTCTCAGACCTAGACGGAAGGATGGTGCTTGGGCCTAGGGCAGAAATCCTGTACCCTCCCTAGTGGAGCTACTAACTCTGTAGTAGTTAACTAGCCCCTCTTCTCCTCTCCCACCCCCCCAAGCACTTTACCATTCTAGGCAAGCCCGTTGCTTTAAATCCTCAAAATGCTCTTTGCCGCAACCGTATCCATGTCACTGAACCCGAAATAAGGAACCTCAGCTACCCTGTGAAACAGCTCTCCTGGGTACCTGTCCCTTCAGTCCTCCTAGGGTTGTTAGAAGGCTTAACTCCAGTAATGAGTGGGAGGGCACATTATAAGCCATAAGTTGTTATTTTTGTTTTCTTTCTATCTTACCATGAGTGGTGCAGTTCCCCACCCCATTAGTCTAGTAAATGTCATATTGAGTACCTGCTGTGAGCCAGGCACTGGGCTAGGCACTGGGAGATGGCTACAGAGGTGATGTAAGAGTCTGCCTTTAAGGGAAGTGGTGGTGTTCATGGGCAGGCTAGCATGTAAACAATGTGCTAAAATACAAAGCAGCATGTGACCAGGGCCAAGGGGACATACAGACTGTGGGACGACAAAGGAGTGATTTAATTCCTGCTAAAGAAGGAGAGGAGATTTCATAAAAAAAAAAAAAAAAATTTTTACTAGCCTCTAGAGGATGAGTAGATTTTATTACCAACCAGAGAGGGCAAGGAACACATTCCAGACCTAAGTATCAGCAGGTTCAAATGTCTACATCCTGCATGCCTGAAGGTGATTGGACCATCAGCGGGTGGGTTCCAAATTATTGGATAGAGCCTTCCAGTTCTTCAACCTCATCTCCTATCTGCCCTTGCCTTCACCACTGTACACAGACTATGTAGATCTGCTTCCTACCTGTGCAGTAGACCAACTAACTCTCACCTCAGTGCCTTTTATACCAGCTATCATGTGTCTCTGCCTCATTTTCAAACCTTAACCAAGATGCCACCCTTCAGGGGGCATTCCCTGTGCTGTGGAATATCACTCTGTGTTACCGGCAGTCACCAGGGTAGACACGGAGACATCCATCTCATTTAGGGAGAGAGTAATGTATCAAACACAAGACACAAAGGATAGGATCAAACCCAGTAATAGGGCGGAAACCAGGGCCCAAAATTCCAAAATGGCCCCATAGAGAACTATTGCCTCATGCCACACTTTCAAGTTGGACAGGAACCAATTTGTAAAAGACTTTATTATCCATTGTGAAAAGTTAGACTTTATCTCAAGGGTGGGAAGGAAATTACTGAAAGGTTTAAACAGAGTTAGTGCCATGACTCATTTTGCATTGTGGAAAGATAGCTCTGGCCAATGTGGAGGATAGGTTTTTATGATGCCAGGCTGCTAACAGGAATGCTAGTTGTAAGGCTGGTATGGAAGTCCAAGTAAGAGACAACAGTTGCCTGAACTGAGTGGTACTGGGTACTGACTTAGTACAAAGGCTTTGGAGACAAGGGCTACCTCTACAGAGCAGCTGAAGGATGCTTAGTTCTCTCACCACTTGGGCAAGTTACTCATTGTATTGGCCTCAGGTTCCTCATCCACAAAATAAGACCAACTGGAATGTGCCTCATGGGTGTGCTCACATGGAAAGCACCCAGTAATCAGCCACCATCATCGTTGTTAAGCAATCAGCAATGGAGATGGTCGAAAGGAATTCTAGATCTACTTAAGAAAAAGGAATGTGAGGACTGAAGAGAGGGAGCAGCCAGAAGTCCTATGTGGTGATGGTACTAACTAACACTTAGCTGGATAGGCTGAGAGGAGCCTGGGGTGGTGGAAGAGCCTGAGTACACGCACCCTGATGACAAACCCAACAAGAAAAGTCTGGCAGACCTCAGGGATGTTTGGTTCTTAACCTCAAAAGAGTAATTCAAAGCCGGGCACTGGTGGCTCACACCTGTAATCCTAGCTACACAGGAGGCTAAGAGCTGAGGATCACAGTTCAAAGCCAGCCCTGGCAGGAAATTCCCCGTGAGACTCTTATCTCCAGTTAGCCAGCAGAAAACCAGAAGTGGCGTTGTGGCTCAAGTGGTAGAGTGCTTTGCCTTGAGATGAAGGGCTCAGGGACCATGCCAGGCCTAGAGTTCAATCCCATGACTAAACAACAACAACAAAAAATGTAATTCAAGAGCTGGGATGTAGCTCAGAGGCAAAGAGCTTGTCTTTGCTTGCCTAGCAAGTGCAACGTCCTGGGTTTGATCCCCAGTTCCAAAAGAGAAAAAGAGGGAATGCTTGTGACCTTTCCTGGTGGATGGCTATGGGGTCTGGTAAGGTTTGAGCCCTTCGTCCTGTCAAGATAACTTCAAAGCTTTATGAAAAATCATATGTGTCCCCCTGAAACCCTACTACACCCAGGTTTACCAGGAGATCTGGGTAGGGATAGGTTTGATGGGCTTCATCGTGTATAAAAAGAAGTAAGGCTTGAAAAAGTTCCACTCCTTCACATTGTTTTGTTTTGTTTGTCGGTCGGCTGGTCATTGGGCTTGAACTCTGGGCCTGGGCACTATTCTTCAACTCTTCAGCTCAAAGCGAGAGCTCTACCACTTGAGCCACAGACCCACTTCCGGTTTGCCAAGTGGTTTATTGGAGATAAGATTCTTGTGGACTTTTCTGCCTGGGCTGGCTTTGAACTGCAATACTCAGACAGATCTCAGCCTCCTGAGTAGCTAGGATTACAGGCATGAGCCACCACGCCTGGCTCACTCCCGCACCTTCTCACGGCCATCATTAGCCAGCTCCTTTGAGTGCACGAGGTGAAATGCCAGTCTGCCTGCACATTTAAGCAAGCTGTGTTAGATGAGAACACAGAACATCACTGTACATATACTTGTAGAAGCACCACTTCTTATATGGCATGAATAAAATATGTCTACCACACCGTGCAGCTTCTAGTGTGTCCTCCCGGGGTCCTGCTCCTGCAGCAGGCACACAGCCTCACTCACCTGACCACCATCCAAGGAAACCTAGGGATGGCGAGCAGATGGCCTCCAGGGCCTCAGTCAACTGTAATGTTCAATAAGCATCTGCAAACAGAACAAAACAAAAAAGAAAGAAAAGAGGGATCAAGATTTCCTCAAGGGGCTGGGAAGGTGGCT